CATTTCGCAGTACCTGTATAAAAGTAGGATTCCGGAGCCCGACCGGTTTTACCACTGGAATATATTCTTATTCACTACAACGGTTACAGCACCGGCTGCTTAGGATGTGGATTGGATTACATTGACCTGTATTTACTGACTTCATTTTTCAAACTGTGGATTCAATTGGATCTGATGCAACCTGGATTGCTGAGTTTACTAGTGATTTTGATCCCCACCTAAATTGCACATCTCCAGTATATACTTTTCCGCAAAAAAAGACAAAACAAAACATAAAAACACTACTACTCACGTATTCTGTGTACCTTGCCTTGACAACGAGTAACGAGAACGCTGCAAAACAGAGCCGTACTGCAGAATTCTCTTTCTTTTTCTCTTTTTCTGACGAGACATATGTCTGACAAGCACATATTATGTCTCGGGGCTCTGTTATTTGACATGCAAAGAAAGTCCTCGTACGGCTGCAATGAAAGCTGAAAACTGCGTTTAAAGTGCCGAAGTTTGAATATGTGGTAGCCAGAAAGAATCTGTCAAGGTTCAACAGCTTCCTTGATTTCACAGATTAATCACGAATGTCGGCACGTTACCTCACTTTACGTATTTTGCTCTGGACTTGACGATGAAAAATAATTGCACATTTATTTATACAATCGCATGAAACTGAATAAAAAATTGAGAGCTGAAGTTTCCCAAAAGCTACCGTTGAAACACGAGTTACGAGCAATAGGTGTGTAGCTGAGCACGCTTGCTGTTGTATCACCAATAATAATAACAATAATAAAATTGATATTATATTATTATATTAAAAGGCATGAGTAGCCCAGCAAGCTTCAGCTAATGGTAGCTCTAGCCAAGACAAACGAGATGGCCTTCAAGCCGAACCAAATTCATAGCGCACACAAACATGCATAAAATTACAAACGTGGGTAGGTGTTTCAGAAGTCAGATACAGACATCAAAATAGTGGATGTACCAACATGAAAGCTAAAGAACGCTTGAGCAACAATTTCCTTGGTCTTGTTTATGCTTCTACAATTTGACAACCAGTACACAGGTGAAACTGGGCACTTCAAGAAAACAGTTAAAAAACAGAAATATGACGCCACAAAATGGAGCGTGGCCTGGACTGCCCTCGCTGAACACGCCGAATCTACAGACCACCAAATAGACTTGTAAAACTCGTGTGTTCTGTACAAAAAAAGAAACGTGCACCCCTCCCCCGTAGGGGAAGGGTGACTCGAGTAATTGCGTCAGAGTGGTGGGGGTGTCATTTGAATGCTGTGTAATCAGGTAAGGTTTGGGAATACCTAATTGTTATTTTGTCTTTGTTATTCATACCTAATGAATGATCAAGAATCATCGCTTTCTATGAGTAGTGGGACACTGTTGTGCCCCACTACTGATTGAATCCGGAATTAGGAAGCAAGCCTATCAAAAAACAATAAAATAATTATCAGTTTAAGAGGACTAAAGCAAGTAGAAGAATAGCTTGGTTCCGTACCTATGTTATGCGTTGTTTTGATTTTCTTTCTTTTTTTTCCACATGTAGATTGCGAGCCCTTAATGTTGTTGCCAGTTTATTTGTGGCTTAGTTCAATGTAATTTTTCTGCTCGATAGTTATCCTCAATGTTAATTATCCCTTAAGGGCCTCTGATGGGGCAAAACTTAAGGGGGAAAGTAGCGAAATATACATATAAGATCACAATTACAAAAAAAGAAAGACCCATTACCTCTGTACACTGCTACAAAACCGGAAGTTGAAACAAACAAAAAGACACATGCTAAGTGTTCCTGCATGTGCTCAAAAACTATTTGCGTTGTGGTTTCACAAGCACAAAACAAAGAAAAAACTATAAACATCAGATTAAATGTGTACAATATGATCGGTGAACTGGTTTTGAAAGGAAAGAGGTTATTCATGCTTGCGGAGCCTCAGACCGCAAAATCGTATTACTTTGCAGGCACATTTATTAAGGAAAAGAATAAAAATGAAGAGGTACAGGGCAAAATAGTTGTACAGTAGGAAAAAGAAGCAGCTCGTAGAGAGGTTCCAGTTTCATGTTCGAGTTGGTGAAGAAGTCACCTGCTTTAGTTTGACAAGTGAGTTGATACCAAGTGCCTGAATTTTGAACTGTCACGCTGATGGACGACTGATTCGGGAAGCAAGTTCCACTCGTGTATGGCCAAGGGAAATAAATACTTATTAAATGTGGTTGTAGAGCCAGTTATACGCTACACACTAATGGAATTAAAAATTTGACGTGATGTTCGCAAAGGTGGTATCAAAATCGATGTTCAAGTGTCCGGATGATTATGATACAGGTTATCGAACAGTGCTAAACGTTTAATGAAACGTAATGTTTTCGATGTATCTGCGATTAATTTCGTGATGTGTTCAGACCAGTTGAGCTCTTCAGTGATAAGAACACCTGAATAACGGTATGAATTGAAGAATGAAAGGGTTGTAGATTTTAAAGTGTATGAATAATTTAGTGTGGAATGGTTTCGCGACACTTGCATGCTTTTGCAATTTGATACATTGAGTTTCATAAGCCATTGGGCGCACCAAGATTTTATTCTAAGTAGGCCTCTCTGCAGCAACTTCTGGTCAGTGTTTGAGATTATGCGGTAATAAAGAACGCAGTCGTCTGCAAGTAGGTGAATCGTGGATGAAATATCAGTAGGAAGATGGTTAATGAAGAAAAAAATAAAAGTGGTCCGAGGACAGAGCCTTGAGGTACGCCTTAAAAGGTTGAGCTAAATTGGAGCGGTGGTTGCGAATAACAGTAAACTGGGTGCGGTCTGAAAGGAAGGAAGAAATCCAGGACAGTATTAGAAGATGTTAGTATAGAGGCGAAAATTTAGCCATCATACGTTGATTTGGGAACCGGTCTAAGGCTTCAGAAAAATCTAAGTAGATATTATCAATCTGGAGTAACGAATCTTAGTTGAAGTTAAGGTCAATAGTGAATTCGTAAAACTGGGTGCCGCAAGAAATTCTAGAGCGGAAACCTTGTTGCTTAGAAAAGAGGAAAGAATTTTCGTCCAGGTGAAAAGCGACTTGAGAATAAATGAGACGTTTTAGCACTTTACAGGCAATACACGTTAATGATATTGGTAGGTAGTTAGATGGATTAGCACGATCGCCGGCTGAAAAAACAGGCACAACCTTGCTTAATTTGCAATCATCTGGAATTGAAGAAGTACATATTGAATGACTAAAATAATTTGTAATATCTTGCATTAGATGTCCCCAGCACCTTCAAGAATCTTTGTAGTTAAGTCGTCAGGCCTGGGAGCACTGCATAGCTTCAAGTCATTGATAAGTTTAGCTATGCCTTCAGTTTATATGACAATAGAAGACATCTGATTTAAACCAAGTTTGGGAAAGTGGGGCATGTTACGTGCCGGCTCGCAAGTAAAGACAGGCAAAGAAGTACTTTATGACATCAGCACAACGATCAGGAGGAACGTTTGTGCCATCTTGGTCATGCAAACTGATCTTTTGTGAAGAGTTATTGCACGGTTACTTCATCTTCCAGAATTGTCTGGGAGAATTCTAATGATATTTTGCAATTCTATATGAAAGAATTTCTTCTTGGAGCACCTTAAAAGATTTGTATAAGCATGAAGACATTCAGAGTACTTCACCCATTTTGATTGGCAGTCTGAGTTTTTGGTGGCCCGGAACAGATGCTTTTTCTTATTTAGTAGCCCTCCTAGGGCGTTCGAAAACCAGTTCTTATCAGCATTACCATGAATACAGATAAGTGGTACATATCAATCTATAAGCGACACTATTTTTTCCTTGTAAAGCAAGCCAGTTAGTGCTAACTGTTCGAGCATGAGCACTTAGTCTCAATTGAAGAAATTTTACCAGATCGTGGTTAATTTTTTCATAGTCTGCTTTGTTGCAGCCACGAATATATTTCAATGATGGCCTACGGGTAGGAATTGGAATAGCCAGATTAAAGAACAGCAAGTTGTGATCACTGAGGCCACTAGTTCACGATGAAGACTGACAAAACTCTGGTTCCGAGGCAAATACAAGATGGAAAATATTGTTACCACGCGTTGGAGTTTTAACACACGGAATCAAATTAAATGGAAGAAATAATTCAAGAAATCTTTTTGAGTGATGCGAAGATGCTGTCAACTCCTCCCAATTGATGTCCGGATAATTAAAATCTCCACAAACCATAAACTTGGCGCTGCTGTATCGAGACTGTAGGTGCAAAAGGACGAAATGTAACTCATCAACAAAAGAACAATTGGAGTCTGGTGGACGGTAGCAAGCGACAAGAACGTTTTTGCCTAAAGAAAATCACAGAATAATGAACACTAGTTCGAGGTTACGATTCACGCTTAGTAACTGGGAGACTATCACTGCTTGGACTAAAACAAGGACACCACTGCCTCTTCGGCTAACTCTGTTAAATATATAAACGCTAAACAATTCACTATTCTTGATGAGCTCTTTGTCCAGGATATCTGCGGTAAGTCATGAATCGGTGAAAATTGAAATGTCTTAGCAGTTATCTTCAAGGACGGCTTCTGTAGCATCTTTTTTTGGTAAATAGCTGTGAACGTTTGTTAGCATGACAGCCATATTATGAAAAGATGGTGTGATAGGTGAAATTTGTGGAGGCTGAGCAGGTATATGATGAGGCGTGGAAATGGTCAGTGATTGCTGTGAAGGCAGTTGGATTGCGGAATTTGCCGCAGCAATATATTTGTACTGCTTTTGACGATACTTGTAACGTATTTCGAATGCGGTGGGCTTTTCCTTAGCAAACAAGTAAAGTTTTTTTTCGCTGCTGCTGCCGCTGCCGCTGCTGCTGGCAGTTGGATTACGGAATTTGTAGCAGCAACATATTTGTACCGCTTTTGACGATCAGTAAGATGTTGTAACGTATTCCGCATGCGGTGTGCTTTTCTTTAGCAAACAAGTAAAATTTTTTGGCTGCTGCTGCTGCTGCTGCCGCTGCCACTGCTGCTGCTGCTGCCGCTGCTGCCGCTGCTGATGCTGCTGCTGCCGCTGCTCCTGCCGCTGCTGCTGCCACTGCTGCTGCCGCTGCTGCTGCCACTGCTGCCGCTGATGCTGCCGCTGCCGCTGCTGCTGCTGCTGCTGCTGCCGCCGCCGCCGCCGCTGCTGCTGCTGCTGCTGCCGCTGCTGCTGCTGCTGCTGCCTCTGCTGCTGCTGCTGCTGCTGCTGCCGCCGCTGCTGCTGCCGCTGCTGCTTCCGCTGTTCATGCCGCTGCTGCTTGCGCTGTTCATGCCACTGCTGCTTCCATTGTTCATGCTGCTGCTGCTGCTGCCGCTGCCGCTGCTGCTGCTGCTGCTGCTGCCGCCGCCGCCGCCGCTGCTGCTGCTGCTGCTGCTGCTGCTGCTGCTGCCGCTGCTGCTTCCGCTGTTCATGCCGCTGCTGCTTCCGCTGTTCATGCCGCTGCTGCTTCCGCTGTTCGTGCCGCTGCTGCTTCCATTGTTCATGCTGCTGCTGCTGCTGCTGCTGCTACTGCTGTTGCTGCTGCTGTAGAGGTGGCACAGCACAATCAGGCAATGTTTGCCTTTAGCCGTGTGTTCTTGAAAAATTTCGTAATTCTTCTTAGTTCTTCTTTCTTTCTTAAACCAATTTAAGAAAGAAAGATAAGAAAAGAAAAAAGCCTCCCTACTGATTGTGCCCCACTACTGGTGCCTCACTACTGGTTACTTCCATCGCATCTGCTTGAGTCAAGCAAAGCATCAAGTCAATCGAAAGCCAAGTAAAGACCCCCTTGACTGAATTCCGAATGCCCGATCCAGTTCCTAAATATATGAAGTGGTCAGTGAATGGTTGTGCAGCGCGAGCAGTCGGTTTTTACTAGAAGACGCTGCCTGTGTCGGCCTTGCGAGGCGAGAGAGGAGGGGGGGAACAACAGTCAGCACGAGACGCGAGCATGCGCAGTAGGGGTGTAGACAACACCGCTGATGCCCGATTTTCAAGTAGGTGTGACAATAACTTGCTTTGCATATAAATCAATCTTGCATCTTGCGTGCATTTGGAATTGAGATACAGACGACTGTACATACCCTGAACAGGAGTGATAGGACGCTTCTGACAATGTACTCTCGCTGCTTACGTCACGTATTTAGGCGCACTTAAGTGCGCTGTGCCTTTCTCGTGGCTTTTATTGGGAATAGGGCTCCCTCCCACATCATGTACTGAAGCGTCAGTAAACTCTGTGTTCTATGGGTTGGAGTTTTCTTTAATGTTTACACTAAGAAGCAAGAGTTATGCACGGTCTTTTTTTTCGCATCCCTTCTAGCAGCTCACTGTTCTTGCAGCTCAGAGAAAGACTTTTTGAACTTTCATCAATGGTAGCGCTTATTTTTATGACAGCCCCACAGAACTGCTGTCAGTTTTCATGACCTGACCAGGCTCTTCAGAAATTCCCTGACTTTTCCATGGCTTTTTCTGAAGGGTCCTAATTCCATGATTTACCTAGGTTTTTCAGTTTGGTAGACACCCTGAGGCTTCCACTGCCTAACAATTATATGACTTCTTCAGACTCGCTCAGACTGAGACTCGCTGCTTGATCTGAGCGAGTGTATTTATATGTGGGGTTTAACGTCCCAAAGCCGCGATATGAATATGAGAGACGCCGTAGTGGAGGGCTCCGGAGATTTCAACCACCTGGAGTTCTTTCACGTGCACCCAAATCTGAGCACATGGGCCTACAACATTTCCGCCTCCATCGGCAATGCAGCTGCCGTAGCCGGGATTCAATCCCGCGAACGGCGGGTCAGCAGCCGAGTACCTTAGCCACTAGACCACCGCAGCGGGGCGAGCGAGTGCATCTCAGTGAGTTGAATCATAAGCGAGTTTGTATACACCTATGATAACCAGTGTTGCAAGGGTGTTTGGAAGGCATCCTATTGATTGTCTATTTTCTAGAAGGTCAAGTTCAAGGTGCTACGCAGGCAATTTGGAATGCTACTGATTCAATTGGTACCATAAAATTCTATTAAAACCCTAATAGCATTTGAGCGATCACAGAAGAAACAGTGGAGAAATGCCTTCTTGCTTACAGTGCTCGTACTTACAATAAGCAAAAAAGCTAAGTTGGTCAAGAAACATCATAGTGTGTCTGCATAATTATTTAAAAGTAAATTTGGCACTCCAAATCTGTTATATGCACATACTTCTCACCATGATATGCACAAAATTCTGACCACTGAAGGGGGCACCCGAAATTTTTAGATACTGTCAGTTGGAAAAGCGCGCTCCGGACGTGGCACCAACTCGTATCTGCTTCGAGACACAGCGCTGGCGTAGCGTTGATAATGAGCCGCCGTTCCCGGTGGCGTCCCACGGCAGCGTTGAATGTGTGTGTGCGTGTGTGTGTGTTGAGTTCGCTTGCTCAGACCACAGAGGCAGGAGCTTTAATGCTAAATTTCGGACACCGCAAATAGTATTCGACATGCTACATGATAATCAAGCATGCTTCAGTGAATCAGCAGTTTAACATTGTGAGCATGCGGACCTGTGGTGCGCCAGGCTGTCGAAGTGGTTCTGCCTCTGAAAAAAGAAACACTTGAGATCGGCGGCACTTCTTTAAACCCCAAATTACCCTGCAGTTCTAAGGGCTGAACAGCTGCTATTCCACGAAAATCGTTCCAGGTGACCGCCAATACATACATTTCCGACTTACATTTTGGCTCCAAGAGACGTCATCTCCGTTTTACCACATCTCGCACAGGACGGTCGGGTTCACCGGATTGAAGTGTTGCACAGTGCGGTGTGCACACTGTGGCGAACTACGACAAAAGTGGAATTAAACTCATATTCTATGAAAACAGGCATTGCGAATACAATAGCAACAGCGTGATCTCCTTGTGCCGGCAACACAAAGGCTACGACTACGGATTCGCATACGACTTCAAGAGGTCGGAGTGGTCACTTGCGTATCCAATACCTAAAACCATAGCTTTCGAGATTAATACACAATAGAAGCAGTTAACTGACCACATAAAACCAAATAGTGCTCCACTTGTGTAATATGTCGGTTTTGCACTCCAAGTACGACAAAGGAACTCAACAGAAGAAAAATAAAGCAGAAAACAATTGATACTTTACCTAAAAAGTGTTGTACCACATGGAAGGTAGCACTTTAAATAAACACACTCAGCGCCGCGTTCTTTGTTGTGATATTTCTTTTTGCTGTCTGAATTAGTAAATGCCAATCAACACAAGCAGGTCGACAAAAGTTTAATTCAGTCACAGTCGTCGTGGTTGTCATGGGTGGCTCGACACGTTGTGTCACGTGCTGCTGAAACGTTTTACCGCCGTAGTCGTATTGATGCACAACAGCCGGCGCAGCCTTGCTGCAAGAAGGAGAAAGACGAAGTCGGCCTCTGGTTGTTGATGAACTGTCACCATCTTGTTCTCCGAGCATGGTCTATTGTATATAATTTAATAAATAAGTTACCTTTAACATTATTGGTGGAGGTGGACGACTCCCGTACGTCAATGGAGACGCGCAGCGGTCGCAACACCGGGGTCTCTTCGGCTACTTCAACTGCCAGTGCCTCATCACCACCGGCCTCTCGAGTCGGATCGACAACTTATGTCACCCTGCCACCCCTGCGGGATCCTGGCACTTTCTCAGCTGACGGTCGTATCGACGTTGACTCTTGTCTGCATCGGTACAAGCGGGTCAGTGCTACCCACCGCTGGGATCCCACGCTCATGCTCGCCAATGTTGTGTTCTACCTCAACAGCACGCCGCGGACATGGTTCGAAACTAATGAAGCCGAAATAACAAGCTGGGATCTTTTCAAAACGAAGATCTGTGATATTTTCGGCGATTCATGTGGCCGTCAGCTCGCTGCCAAGAAGACTCTCGCTACTCGCGCCCAGACGTCTACTGAATCATATACGTCTCATACATTCTTGACGTCTTGGTGCTTTGTAGCAAGGTCAACCAGCACACGTCGGAAGGCAAAAATGTTAATCAAGTCCTCAAAGGGATTGCTGACGATTCCTTCAACCTGCTGGTTTTTCAAAATGTCAAGAGCATCGACACGATCTTCACAGAATACCGCCGTCTAGAGCAGGCTAAAGCCTGCCGCGTCACCACGGCATCACGCACCGAACACAGCTGCTACTTCCTCTTGTGATGACGCCGTCCGCCCAGTTCCCCGATGTGACAACCTCACCCGCATCATTCTTCACGAGGTTGAGGGCGCTCAACCAGTAGCTACTCCATTTCAAACGTCTGATCCTTCACCGACCACTATCTCACTGATACAAGCCGTCGTTCGTCAAGAATTATCGAACGTCGGCCTACACCCCGTTCAACCAGTCTACTTTGCCGAACCTTTTTATCGTCGTCCCTCCACGCCTCGCTTTGGTTTCAACTATTCTCGACAGCGCCATTTGTTCGAATGGCGTACACTGGACGACAAGCCTATATGCTTCGACTGCCGACGTGTCGGTCATATTGCTCGTCACTGCCACAATCACTGGGCTCCGCCAGCACACAATGGGCCTCCTACCCACGCCACTTCTATCCACCAGTCGTCCTCAGCATTTGATTTGGTTCCCCTATGTCGACCACATCCTCTGATTCTGCCGCACCTCTGTCGAGACCTCGCTACGCCCGCTCACCATCCCCTGCTCGCCGTCAATATCGTTCGCCCCCACAACACCATCCTGCCTCTTCGACCAATTCACAGCGCCCCCGATCAGAAAACGACGCAGTGCAGCTTCTGGAGGTTAAGCTGCATTGACGACGACCTCTGCAAGAAATCCTCGTGTAACTATACCGACCACTTGGAATCTGTTGAACGTTACTTTCGACAATGTACCTGTGCGCGCGTTCATCGATACCGGCGCGCATGTGTCCATAATGAGTGTTGCTCTTCGTCGCCGCCTAAAGAAAGTTATCACACCCGCCTTGAACTGAGGCGTTCGAGTCGCCGACGGAAGAACTGCCACAATTATTGGCATGTGCTCTGCCCGTGTGACTACCGCCGATAGAAGCACTGCTGTTCTTTTCACCGTTAGAAAAAATTGCCCTCATGATAAAATTCTATGTATGGATTTTCTAACCGCTCACTCGGCCCTTATAGATTGTTCAGCCGGCTGTCTTGACCTTGAAATGCCTGATCGTCCTGATCAGAAATAAGGATAGAATATGGCGCTTTTGTGTGGATTATCGGCATCTCAACAAAATTACGAAGAAAAATGTTTACCCTTCGCCTAGAATCTATGATGCCTTAGACTGCTTTTACTGTGCTACGTATTTTTCCACTATCGACCTTGGATCTGGCTAGTGGCAGATCGCTGTAGACGAGATGGACCGTGAGAAGACCGCATTCTTTACCCCTGACGGTCTTTATCACTTCAAAGTTATGTCCTTCGGTCTCTGTAATGCGCCGGCCACATTCGAAAGAATGATGGACTCATTGCTCTAAAGGTTTAAATGGTCAATCTGCTTATGTTATTTAGACGACGTTATCGTTCTC